CTGGCAGCCTCCCGTGGGCTGAGCCACTCCCCTGGCTCTCTCCCTGCCTCTGGAACGGGGATCTGTGCTCAGCACAGCTCCAGCCCTGCACAGGAGTTGTCTGTTGTCACCTGGAGCTGACATTCCCCATTTCCTGGGTGGGATCCATCCCCTCAGATCACTTCTGCCTGCTCTCAGTCCAGCTCCATGCTGGGCTCTGTCATCCAGGCTGGAGCTGTGAACTGATGTTTAATTTCCTCGGATGTTGGTGCTGTGTTTGTCCTGATAAATTCAGGGTGTGGCCCTGCCTGGCTCCAGGTGCTGGAGCTCCCAGTGGACAGTCTGGGGAGCTTCCCTCAGCCCTGCTCCTGCTGTGCAGAGGCAAGGGGCAAGGAGGGGAAATACCCCAAGGTTTCTCCACAGTGAGAGTTTGGATCATCTCTCCTTGCTGGTAAAGCGTGGGGTGAGGGAGGCCCTTGGCTGTCTCAGGAAGGGAGCGGGGTGCTGCAGCTCCAGGGGCAAGGGGGGATCCTGTCCAGCAGCATCCCGGGAGGCAGCTCTGGCAGCGGGTCTGTCCAGGAGGGCTGTGCCCACTGCCAGAGCATTCCAGGTTTGGCTGGGCAGGGAGGTGGTGGGTCCAGATTCATGAAGAGCACAAGCAGGAGCCAGCTGCCTGTGGCCAAATCCTGCCTGGATCGCTCCAGCAGGGCAGGGCTCCCATCTCGGGATGTGATGGCAAATTGTCACAGGAGCATCAGCCCCATCCTGGGACGTGGTTCTGACAGGAGCAGGGACTGGATGTGACAGCAGCCTGGAAACAGCCTTGGCTGCAGCCTGGATGAGTTCTAGGTCCAGCTAGAGAATGTTTTTATCCTTCAAGGCAGGAGCCCTGGGCTTGCTGGAGAGCAGGAGCACAGGGATTGGGCTCAGAGGATGCAGGATCAGCCCTGTGTCTTGTCCACCTGCAAGGATAAGTGGATTAATAAGGGCACCCAGGTGGCTCCTTTTTGGGAATGGATGGGAGTCCCTGGAGCAAGGGAACCCTGCCCCCAAGGAAAGGAGAAGTGGGAACTCCCCAGGGACCGTGGGATGCTCCAGAGTGGGAGCTGAGCTCTCCAAGCTTGGATGTGCATCCCTGTGCCCCAGCCTGGCCCAGGGGAAGAGTCCTGGGGAATGCTGAGAGGCTTCGCTGACTGGTGGGGACAGTGGCTGATGGTGGCAGCCAGGACACGCTCCTGGACACCTTCTGAGGCCACCAGCACCAACAGATCAAGGAACTCCCTCTCCAGTCCCTTCCATGGATATTTTTCCCCAGTCAACATCCAAATCCTTCCCCGTTCCCCACGTTGATTGGAACTGTGCTTTGATCAGTCCCCAGGCCTGTCCCTGCTCCATGTGCTCTGGTCCTGGTGGGTTTTCCAGCTGATCCAGGAGGGGTTCTTTTACCAAACACTTCCAAACTTCAGGGCTCCCCAGATCCACCTTAAATTAGAGTTATCTGGGTAAGCTCTGGAACCCAACTATAAATGAAAATTCCACTGTAAAACACAACATCCACAGCCTTTCCATGTTCTTCCTTGCTCCCAAGGACCTGAGCTGCTCTGGAAGCAGAAATTCCCAATAAAGGCTGAAAGACAAGAGCAGGAGCAGGAGCATTCCCTGCTGAGCTCCAGCCTGTCCAGGGGAAGGTGATAGGGGCTGTCAAGGGGGATTTGTTAAAGTTGGGGTTTTCCCACGAAAACTGCAGGATGTGTAGCCAACACCCGAGCCCGGCATCACCTGCAGGATGTCGTGGATTCATGGAGCTCTGTAACTCCCGGGGGGAGAAGGAGGAGGCTGGGAATTGCAGGATTCGTGAAGTGTGTGTTACAGCAGGTGGCAGGAGGTGACAATGCCATGGATTGTCCCAGCAGGGTGGGACACAGCTGCTGTGAGCTGCGGGAAGAGGCTGTGTGGGGAGGACACCAAAGCAGGACGGGCTGTGGCTGCTTCCCGCAGGGGTGGCTGGTACCCGATCCCAAGGGATGCTGCAGGGAGGGACTCACTGTGCCCGGGGTGGGAGTGAGGAGCTGCTGCCCAATAGTGAAGCCTGAGCCAAAGTGCCTTTGCTGGAGCAAGAACTGGAGTAATTTATCGGGAAGCTTTTAGGGAAATGAGCGGCTGCTGGGCCCCTGCCAAGCGCAGCCCCGCTGGGCGCTGCCCGTGTCCTCTGGCAGCTCTTGCTGGGAGAGAGGGGGACGGGAGCAGGAGTGGGAATGGGGACAGCAAGTGGCCTGGGGTGAGGACAGGCCAGAGAGAGGCATGGACAGAAGGGTTGGAATGGGGTAGAGATAGGGTCGAGGATGGGGATTGAGGCAGGGATGGAATTCAGCAAGGGAGTGGGGTTGGGGAGTGGTCGGGGATGAGGGTGGGACAGGGATGGAGAGAAGATGGGGATGGAAATGGGATGAGGATGGGACAGCAGTGAGGATGGGGAGAGGGGAAAGGGACAGAGAGAGAAATGGAAATAAATATGAGAGTGGGACTGAGGATGGAGACAGAGACTGGGACAAGGAGAGGGATGGGAATGGGACCCGGACAGGGGTGGAGCTGAGCCCATCCCACACTTCTTGCAGCACAAGAGAAAGAACCATTACCAACTTCTTCTCTTCCTATCCCAAACACTTCCCAGAGCTATGAAATCGCAGCCCTGCAACCCCCGCTGGGGTTGCTGCCACTTTTACTCCTTTGTCCCCATGTCCAGGGAACCCATGCAGGGTCCTGCTCCCTCCCACCTCCCCTCTCCCGCGGCAGCCCCCACCTCCCGGCACATTCCCTTTTGTTTTCGCCTTTCCTGGCGGTCCCTTAATTGAATTATCCCGGAGCATCTCTGTCGCAGCAGCCGCAGTGATCCATCGCCTCTGCGGCAGAGCAGGGACGCGGCGGGACCCCGCTCCGCATCCCGCCTGCTCCGGGATCGGGAGCTGCCACTCCAAACCTGCCCCAAGAAATCCGTTCTGCCGATTCCCATTAAAATTAATTGAGCAGCTTTGAAACGCTGAGCTTGGGGGATGGCGTTATTCCTTTTATCTAATTTTTTCTTTTACATTATTGTATTTTCTGGCAAATTAAATTGTCTTGGTTTTTTTTTTTTTTTTTTCCTTTTTTTTTTTTTTTTTATTGTCTTTTTTTTTTTTTTTTTCTTTTCTTTCTATTATGTTTATTCACAGTGTCTATAATAGACCTAGTTAAAAATAAATATATATATATATATACACACACATGTCTCCGAGGCCACGTGGCTCCTTTGGAAATGCCAGTCCATAAAAAATCCAAACTTTCTACGGGAGATGGATGAAATTTCATTACAGATGCGGAGCCTCCCGCACTTTGCGAGGCAGCCGGAGTGATTTCATTGCCGTGGAGCACTTCCCATTTCCATTTCTCATTTGGACGTTCACTTCAATTGGTTTGATAAATTAGAGAAGATCAAAAAAAGGCCCCACCCAAACCCCAAATCAATAAAATGCCACCAGTTCCTCCTGGCATCCAAAAATGGGGTGTCCCCCCCCTCTCCCCCGTGGTGCTGCAGGGTGGGAGTTCCCATGCCGGTGCAAGGAAATGAGTTTTCCCCATGGGAGCAGCCAGGGAGGTGAAGGTGGGGATGTCCCAGCCCCAGTGTCCTGGGATGGGCTCCTCCAGCCCCGGAAATGGGGAGCAGCAGCTTTGCCCGGTTCTCTCCCAGCCCCAAGCACTCCCCCTATGTTTATTTATTCCTTTAATCTCTTTACTATTAAAAATGCATCGCTGGGGGCTCGGGAGGGTGATCCATTAGGTGGGAATGGGCTCCCACAGTGATGTGAGATTCCCGCTGTCCCTCAGTTGGGGGGCTCACACCATGGTGTAAATCAGGAGTAACAGGGTGCTCCATGCCTCCAGCCTTGGGACAGGATCCCCAGCTTGGCACAGGAATTGTGACCCTGTGGAGCCTCTCTGAATGGCCCAGACAGTAATTCCTGCTGGAATTACTGTTAACCCAGGTGAAAGAACTTCTGGGAAGGGGCTTGGGCTGAGCATCCTCCCCGTGGAGGCAAAGGGGAGTGAAACATTCATCAAACCAAACATAAAATATCAGGGCATGAGATGTGGAGAGGGGGATGAAACCTCTGGGATCCATGGGAAGAGGCAGGACCTGTAGCAGGATCCACAGCTGGAGTGGGGAGGGGGACATGGGAGCTGCTGGGAAGGAGCCAGGTCCTGCTGCCCCAAAGTTTAGGGATGCTCCAGTCCCCGGAGTCCTGGGGTCACAGCCCCCCAAACCAAACCCACCTCCTGTGCCAGCAGGACTCAGCAGCACCCACAGGTGCTCCCGGGGCCCCACCCCATCTCCCTCCACCCCAGCATCTCCAGGAGCCCCTGCAGCTCAGAGCGCTTCAGAAATCCCAGTTTTATTTCAGATCAGAAACAACCAACCAGGAAGAA